CGATAAGTTCGCGAAAAATTATCGTGGGATAGCGAATTTTTTTTTAATTAAACTGCGTAATCTTTAATAACGCGACAAGTTTAGTACCTTTTTATCATTGTAACCTTTACAAAGATGAAGACATGTTTGTCATATTAAAAATTAACTAGTTTAACGGAATGCACGGATTTGCTACAATTCTTGGTGGGATGCCGTTTGTACCGCCATAAAGTTTGAACCTTCCCTTTTAATAAAAAAAAAATGTATCCTGCTGCGATTATTTTTCGCAAAGTTACAACACTTTAAAAAAAATCCTTGCATTTTTTACATGTACCAGCGACATTATCATTATCGGATGTTCCAGCGAGAAATAGTTCAAAGAATCAATGTCGATTCGACGTAGAAATGGTGATTTTACATGAAATTAAATTGCCTTAACAAGCCTGGACAACTGGATAATGACGTATAAATAAATTTATTCATCAGAACAATATCAATGTATTCGTTTCGATCTTTATTCGGTATCTCTTTTGTATGTTATTAATAAGGAGCAACTGTCTAACATATTTATTAATGAAGTTATGATACAGGTTCGCTATCATATTAACTATTAATTAGTCTCACAATATACTGAATCCTCTTTTATAGTTTAAAGTAATTTTGAGGCATATTGATAAATTGTTGTTAAAATGTAATCATACCATTTACGTCCATAAATATATAAACGCATAGATAGATCGATATCAAATTGGCAAATTTACTGAACAAAGAAATATTATGTAATGTAAATTATATAAAAATTAAATTTAGAGTAATCATAAAAATTTCCTAAGTAGCTCACAGCGCGTACAAAGCGTTAATAAAGCGTCAAAACGGGGATATAATTGCTTTTTTAGCGCTTCTTAAGCGCTGTGTCATATTTGAATTACATGTAACTGCTGTACGGAACATATTTGAGGTCATTTCTGTTCAAAGGATCTAAAGAGACAATAAATAAATGTCGATCTAACAAGAAGAATTGGAGAGAAGGAAGCATCAAGTCGTAAAAAATAAACATATAGGCTCTAAACAAACGGACACGGAGCTCTTACACAGCATAATACGTTACAGTATAAAACATTATTGATGGCAAAAGGGACAAGCAGTACCAAAATTATACTATTATGTAAAAAAAAGTAAGAAGAGGATTTTTATGCAATTATTTGGCAATTAACGTACAATTACAGTTGTATAAATAGGTTATATCTCTTCTATTACATCTTTTTTCGATAAAACAGATTCAAACTTTAAAAACATCAATATTTATGTATACTCCGTGGAAGAATCATATGTACACATCTCTGTAATTGAACTTTTAGGACAGTTTCTACAAACGCTTTTTCACATCGTTTCTGATTATCTGTGGTCAGTCACCAATGTTCAGTACATAGCAATTATAATGGCAGAGGCAGAAGCAGGAGACAATTTGATTCCAGCTCGCCGCTGGATCCGTGGACATTACATGAAATTGACAAGGAGTAACAAAGCAAGGTACAGTCACTGTAAAGACAAATTCATTATAAATTTCACATGCTTAGATATTTTACACAAGCACTTGGTAAACGCACATCCAGACAAATTAACAAAAGAAGAGAAGAAAGAAGTGAAATTTCATTGGACTTGGGACTATTTTATCCTAAAAGGAGATACAAAGGCAACATTCAAAGAATGTAAAAAAATAATTAAGTACAGCAATACAACTCAATTAAAACTTCATTTAAAAAAATGTCACATGTAAGTAGATCCATGTACATTTGTACATTTGTTACAATATTTCGAATCTATCCGATAGTAGCAATTTTGATCGCTTTTAAATATTTGAGTAATGAGATTCTAAAAATAATAATATAACAATTAATATTTTCACATAATGAAATACTGTGCGTAATTGCAAATAATATCTCTACAGCATTTCTTATCATTTTTTTAATTTTAATAACTCCTTACATTTATGTAGGATATCAGGTCCAACTACAGTCACCCAATGTGTATGGGTGCGTTCTTTTAGGCATCGGATACAGCAGTTCTTGCAGTAATTCGTTCTTTTAGCACAACTGCACAATCGATTGCAGCGCAGATTTTCGTTCTTTTGGCAATGGATACGCAGTAGATACGCAGACGAATAGAATTAGCTGCGCAGCCGGCTACGTATCTGCGTAATCGTTTAAAAAACACGCAATCGGCAGCTCCGATGCGCAGCGACTGCCAAATGCGATGCCTAAAAGAACGCACCCATAATGTAATAGATAACGAAAGCAGTTCAGATGATGATATGGATGCAAACAAGGATGTAACTCTAAGAAAAGCAAAACGGCAAGAAGCTTCATCTAAATCAGTGCTCGGCACTAGATGCACATTTCGGGCTGATTCCGGCGAGCGACCCCCACTACCACTCGAGTCTCAGCGGCCGAGCTCCAC